AAACACAAGCGTTAGCGCCCAGGAAGGGAAAGGCTCTCTCACTGTTCCCACCGAGCTCCCCGAGCCACGCCATCGCCGCTTTCTTTCAGCGCCGGCTGCCGCTCCCGGGGCTCCCCGATCTGACGGGCAACAAGAGGCCTCAGCTCCCCCGCGCAGCCCCCACGGCCGCCCCTCACCCCAGCTCGGCCCACTCCCCCCGCACCAACCCCAACCCCGCCCCCGCGGCCCTCCCCGCCCCCTCACCGCAGGGCAGGCCCCGCCGCCATGCCCGGAGCGGCCGTTCCCTGAGCAACGCCGGACACCTCCGCCCTCTCCTCTCAGCCCAGAGGTAACGGATTGAGGCGAGGACCAATGAGAAGGCGGAAATCGGGCACGTGACACCAGCTCCGCCAATCAACAGCCTCCTGCCCCTGAGGGACAGGGTGGTTCCCAGCGCGCCTCGCGGCGCTGAGGGAAGCGCGGAGGGAAGAGATGTGGGCTGCGCTGCCCTGCTGCCCGTCGCCTCAGGGCACGGGGCGGGCCCTTACCGCTGCCTGTGGTCACGGGCTTTCCGTCCTTGTGTGAGCCGAAAAAGACATGTAAACAGGCTGCTGAGCCCGCGCAGGGATGCGGCGCTGACCAAAAAGCAGCGCTGTGCCAGTCCGCTGGTGACACCAACCTACCTGAGGACACAGGCGGCCGGAGAGCCGCAAAGCACGCTGCTGTGGTTCGTTTCTGTCAGAAATGAGCACAAGTCGTCACTCAGCCCCACGAGCCCGGGGATGGGCTGACGCAGAAACGTTCCTGCTGCACACACAGGGCTGTAAGAATGGCATCTACGAAGAGCTGTGTCCCTTCGGGCACCAGCACAACGGCAGGCAATAAGGGCCCCTTGTCTGCGGCTCCCAGCTGCAAGGCACAGACATGGACAGGGCTCTGCTGGGGAAAATGGGCCTCTGTTTGAGGAACAGAGAGGATCTCAGCCCTGTGACTTCACCCTTCCTGCTTTCTTTAGCTACAGCAATCACAGAACTGCATAAATGTAGTTAAATTACAGCTCGCACCGCTTTCTGTAATGGTGTGAATGCTACCTGGAACGTGGAGCTAGCTAAACATAGGTGTGTATTTATCATGCTGTTGTCTCCATCTCCTAAAAGTTATGTTGGTCTGCGAAACATCTGACGTGTTTCCCTTGCTGTGGCTGCAACATTGGCAGCAGGCAGTCAAATGGATCCATTATACAGCTGGCAATGATACCTTATTGACCAAAGCCCTCTGGGAGAAAAGCAGCCATTTTCTGTGTTGCCTCTTGGCAATCTTGCTGGATTAAACTATTCCTGAAGGCAGAAACATGGGTCTATCTAGATAACAATCTTAGAATGTTGTAAGACAACACGACACTTACCTTTTTGTCAGCCTGCTTCTCAGAGTACTTGATGCAGGTGCTTTATATTTCCCTCAGAAAAGCAGATGCCAATAGGCCGAGTCCAGTTGCTATGGAAATTCAGAGTTAAGAGGGATTTGTGTCCAGTGAAACAGCCAGCTCATTTCCATGCAAAGAAAGGCTATCCTTTGACATGGTATTTTCATGATTTTTTTCCCCCAGTTTTGGAATTGAATCAATTTCTTGTCCACCTCTGCCATTCATTTTCAAGTGCAGGCAGTTCAAGGTCAGGGAGACCACTAAAAGGGATCTGAGTGTATGTGTGGTTTGGAAACTGAGACACACGCAAGCCCTCTAAATTACAGAGAGGAACTTCCAGTTCTTTGGTTCCTGATAGCAGGCTTAGGAAGGCACAGGCTTAGTCACTGCAATGCTACTAAGCTGACAGTGGCTGCTGCTGTGTCAGAGCCACAGTGCAGAATGTCCTACTGCTGCTTAAGGGAGATTTTGGAGAGAAGATTTGGGTTTTATACTCAGAGCCTTCTTCCATACCACACAAGACTGGTAGCACACTGCTCTCTTTGGCTACTGGGAAGACAGGCTCAGTCTTTTTCCATAAAGACAGCAGGGCAGAGGAGACAGAGCACAGCTCCAAACTTCCATGCTGGCTACCACTGCACACGGCAGGACAACACAAGGTGCCAGAGTTAAAACTAAGCAAGAAGCTGATGCTTCCCTATGCATCATTAGAAGTGCATATACTTAAGATCTAGGACAATCTTCCCAGATCTTCAACAATTCAATGTCTTTTAAATTGGGTCCCAAGAGAAAAACAAATCTTATATCAGAAGGTTGTGGTTTGATTAATCTCATACTGTGCTTTTAGTACACCAAGTCTGATGTTTTGGTCATAACGACTTTAAGCTGTCATCAATCTGTAACAAAACATGTGAAAGCAAATGTCACGTGATAACTACTGAATGTATGACATTCTTTCTGGACAGATCCAAGCAGGGAGAGCAGACTGCACACGTGCACTTGATCGAAACCGAACTGCGCAGTAAGTGAGCTTAGTATAGGCAAACAAAGTCCTGTGCTACCCAGAAAGGGCAACGGCCAAGGTCGCTTTGTGTGAGACCATGAGAAAATTTTGGTTAAATGAGAACATTTGGGATGTTGTTCTTGGTTAATGAGTGCACAGCTGGGATCCTGTAATAATCCATAGCAACAAAATTCTATAAGCTTAACAGAGTAATACGTGTTGCTAACAGGAATTATACTTACATTAACCATGTGGCAATGAAATGCTAAAAGAAAGTCAGCAATAACCCATTTTATTAAAGCACTTGGCTATTCAGAGTTCTCCCACACCTCATACTGCCAGACCCCACTTCACTCTGCTCAAGGCTGCAAGGTACAGTAATAGTTTTCATTTTTAAAAATAAGGAGAATAGCCCTATCTCTTGGCATCTGATTAAATAGAACTGTTTTGCTGTACTAATTTTACTTTAAGAGATAAGAAATGAGCCCAGCATAGATAAGGCAGTAATAGTTTCTAATTAATCTCAGCCTAATTTGCCATTCAACTCAAGTCTATTACACATCAAAATAAAAGTTGTTTGAAGCATTAATTTATTTTATGTCAACAAAAGGAAGGCTTATCTCCAATAACTTGCTTCCAATTCTTTTCTCTTCCAAATAAAAATACACTCCCAGCTCACGGGAGGAGCAAAAGTACCTGAAGTAAGACAAACAGAATATTTAATACTCAACAAACCCTGCACTTCTCTGTGTTTCAGAGAACAAGCTGTATGAAAATAGCCCTCTGATGTGTTCTCACAGGGATGGGAGCAGAAACGCTAACTTAAATCTCATATTCTTCAGTCACAAAACAGTCAGTTAGGTCCAGACAGCACTTCCCTGCTTCGATCACGCACACACAAACACACAGCTGATCTGATGTCAGCTGCAGTAACAATAGGTAATACTCCCTTTTATTTTTGCCACCTCTCCAGCTTTGTGCCGTGCAGCTTTTAAATAGCCTCCCAACCCCCTGACCGCTGTACTCCAGAACAGGACAAAACAAAGACAACATACCAAGTCAGTTCTTCCACGTGTCTCTAACAGTGACACTGAAAAACAGCCCCAAAAGGCTTAAGCTTGTCACAAAGCGTAGTTTAATTCGACAGTCATCGTAAGGCATCCATGTAAATTAAAAATTCCCACCAGGGTCACATACATTCTCCCACAAAATAAAACGTGCTAAAACAAGAGGCCTGGGATTCCAAAGGATGCTTGTGCACTGCCCACTGCCTGGGCCAGGCTGCCACTACCCACAGGGGCTCCAGGAAACACAGCACCAGCAGTGCAACTCAGGAACTGGAAAGTCAGCTCGCACAAATTTCTTTCAAGAGAGCAACAAACAAAAGCAGGAAAGAGATCTGTACAGAAAACGTCATTCTCTGTCCCTTCTGGGAGAACAAGACAGAACAAAAAAGGTGAGCCATTTACCAAGCATAGAGGAGAGCTCAGAGTTCAGAAGCCCAGCCATGCTGATGGCCCGTTCTGAAAACTAATGAAGCACTATGGAGGCCTGAGTTCGTTATTGCTTCGTCCCAGTTCAGCCCAGGCTAAGGCCTATGGTGAAGTCCAAATTAACTTAAAGCCAGAGAACGCAGATCCAGTAACAGCACCTAAGTCCCCATCCACACATGGGTGTAAACAGATTCTTTTGGTGAAGTCTCCCAAATTTCCCCTCTCCCTGTGCTATGCAGATCCCCATAGCAGTGCTAGAATTTATACAACAGATTCTCTGTCACGTCTCCTTTAGCTGAGCATCTGCAGAGCGTTTCATTTTGCATTCACACTCATCCACTACCCTGCTGACACATCAGCTCAGAGAAGTTCACCGGGAGCTCACCGAGAGGCACACGGTTGGCCACATCTAAAGGAACGTGGCACGGAGTCTAAGAATCATCACTGCTCTGTGTAACAGCAGTACCCAGCCCCCCTCCACCCTCAGCTTCGGGGGCCAAACGGTGCAGACAAGAGCTCCTCTCCATCCTGAGTGCCTGGGCAGCGATCAAGAGAAACGGCGCGCTGTGTAAACAAAATGGCATCTTGCCACCACCACGAGTCAGAAAACAGACTCAAGTCAAGTGGGGCTTCATATCAAGAAACAGTGCTTCCCTTGGATTATCGTATGATGGGGCAACTTTTAGAGGCAATTATTATTATTCAAGGCAGTAGAATTTGAGCGTGGGTATCTCTGGGGCTGACCTACAGGCCCACCATATGCTAGGGATCTTTTAAAACAATTAAAGGTCCTGTTAATTCTTCCGAAAAGGACAGAACAGAGAAAACACAGTGTATCTGATGAACGCACACGCTAAGACACTACCAAAGCTTGCAGTTAGGCTTGTCAAAACAGTTTAAAAGGTTTAGGCATCCAGTTTGTACCAGAATGGATGGCATTTGGGCACCTAATTTAACTTTGTGAAAATTCGAGCCTAAACTTTTCTTTATTGCTTGTCCCATTGAGTGCAAAGGGAAAAGCGAGGGGTTAACCACAGAAAGATTTCAAATCCATCTTAAGGTTTCCCTGCTCTTCTGTATATATATATATAAAGGCATATATATATATATATATGTATAAAGCATTATTATTCTTAAGCCACCTGGAGTAGGGGGATGAGGGAAACAGAAGCTATTTCATTTCGTAGTTATCTGAGCATCAGACCCTGCTTCCCACATGATGATACCTCTGTCACAGTAAGAGCATGACATGAAAACGTGTCTACTGCCACTGAGAATTCTGAGTCTGCAAAATTTCAGCCCAACTATCAGGATAACGGCAGATTGACACGCACACACTCCTCAGCAACATACACAAAGCAAGTAGGACATGCCTCAGTGAGTGCAGATGGAAAGAAAACAAACAAGGAACCTCGGAGAAACCAACCAGAAGAGCCTCAGGAAAGAGAACTACCCATATTCCCTGCAAAGGCAGCTGCCCAGGAGTCCACGCGCGGCACAAACCGAATCCAAATATCCATCCCACAGCTGAAGATCTCTGAAGCCTGGCAGCGTCACACACTGGATACTTGAAGGCACATTTCCTATGTGTTTTGGAAGAGAAATCCAGTTACAACAGCACACTGCAGCTGCAGGGCTGAGGGAAAGGAGGCGACACTTGGCATCTCTGATCCTGTCCCCGCGTTCAAGCTCTGTGGCTGGTGTGAGCTGGTGATCTAAGCAGACACATTAACATCCCTGAGTGAAATGGCACCGTTTGTGGCCTCTGAGACTTTGTCCTCAAGCACCATTGCTGGTGTGTCTGCAGTGCCTGCTGTAGTGTCTATGGCAGGAAGTGGATTTAAGCCCTGTGATAAAATCTGTTGGATGGTTTTCCTCAAGTTGGGGTGCAGCTGGTTTTGGGTCTGGTAAAAAATTTCTAAGGCAAAAGACTTGAGCGTGCCAGTGCAAAGGTCCTCATAAAGTGGAATTGTGTACATCCGAGACATCTGCAAAAAAGGAAAACGGAATAATATCACTCCAGTAAAAGCCAAGAGGTTCAGCTCTCCTGTAAGTACATTCCAAGAGACCTCAAAGAATCCAAGCAACACACTTCTTCAAGAGAAGCCTCTAACTAAGTTTAATGCAAAGTTTCATGTGAATGATAATCAAAACCCACTTGCTCTCTACGACTGAGCTACTTCCCCACAAATAACAGAGCTATTTACAAGGCCAGGGAGAAGAGGCCACAGAGAACACATGCATTAACCTTTTGCTCCCGCACAATAAAAAACACTGAAAGGAATCTCTTGAGCGCTAGCTTTGTCTGAAGGGTGCATATTCCAACAATCACATCATTTAGTATCGTAACAAAACTCTTCTCTGGAAACGCCGGGGCTGCCATAAAGCAATGCAAAAACGCACTGGGCAGAGCTGGGACAAGGACATTGAGTTAGGCTGGAAAAGCACAGACTGTCTGTAGGCATTTCAAATTCCATCTGCCCATTCCTCCCCACCGCTAGCAGGTGAGCCGTGCTCGGCCCCTTCGCTACACACCTGGTCTACACTTGGCCAGGAAGCAGAAGTTCCAAGGTCTTTCACGTCGCATGTCTCATGCACATGTCTCATGCACTGAGAGGTGCAGTGATTTTAATCCAGCAGTTAGTACCTGGTTTTCCAAGAAGCGACGGACTTTGTAAAGGTCTGGGTAGTAGTCATTGCGGACTACAATCTGCAACCAGCGGATGCGGATTTCTGCGTTCATGGAGTCCAGCTGAGAGGAGTAACATTCCGAAAGCCTTTTTATCACCTCTGAAAAGAGCGTATACACAGAGGGAAAAACAAAACAAAACACAACTGTGACCTGTTTTGTCAAGTTTGGAGGTCATCAGAAAATGAGCGATAGCACCAAGGCTGAGTAGGGCTATTTAGAACTCAATGTGTCATTCCAGGAATACTTTTCTACTCTCCTTACAGAGCACTCACCATGGCGCAGCGGTGACCCATCCAGCAACCTGTCCAAGAAGAGCACGGTTTGGAACGTTCTCCATTTAGTGAGGTCAGCACTGCTGGCAGCAGCATCAAAATCCAGAGGCTCAGCGGTCCAGAGTTTGAAGAGCGTCTCCACCGGTCTGGTCAGGCTGGATCCCTGAGATAAATCTGGCTCAGCTAACGGAGGTCCTGTAGCATTGAGCCAACGTTCAAACTCCAGTCCTGGAATGAGGAGCACCAAAAATGTCGAGCAGGAGTCTCTGCAGAAGGCTTGGCTGTCTCAAGGTTCGGGACTGCTTCTAGCACAGTTAAGAGAGGTTCTAACGGTAGCAAATCAGACCAACCCATAGTTACAGTGATACAACAGTGTTAGTTTCATCAAGCCTGCGCTCCATCTGGAACAGGGACAGCAACATCTCTGCCAAATTTAACCATGATTCTTCTGGAGCTCAGCATTACAGCGAGTAAATAAAGAAAAACACATGTGCTCATTGGGCAGACCAGCTAAAAGGTATCTATGATCAAATCAGGTTCTAATATCAGATTTGGCACATTTCTCTTTTGTTGAATTTTGAGGAACACTGGAAAACGTGAAGCGTGTTTTCCCCAATAGAAATAAAAAAGAGGTGAGAGGGCTGCCTAAACCCATCGTCATTCATGTGTTTATAGAATTGGTAACTAAACCCAAGACAAGCTTTAGCAGGATTTGGTTTCCAGATACACTCTGCAGTGTGAAAGGTGAGCTAATGAGAGTTAACCAAGGGCCACTCAGATGATCAATGCCAAAACGGTCAGCAACTTACAACGTTCTCATTCTCCACAACAGGGGGGGTAACTAAGATAAGAAAACCATTTGTGCCATGGATGTATGGCTGTTGCCAAAGTGTTTTGTTTCACTCAACCTTAGGATTTGCTTATGCATCTCCTAAGCCAAGTACAAAATTTATTGGCCAGACTTCCTAATTTTGACAGCTAAATAAGTAAACTGCATCTTACCTGCTTTGCTCTCAACACATTGCTCTTTCAAATCTGGAAAAAAATTCAGGAAGGAATCCAGAAGATCCTGAGCCACAACACTGGTAAATTTGTACTTCTCAATGTAGGCCTGAAACAGTGAAAGGGATAAATGACAGTTAGGAGGAAGGTGGCTTCTTTTTGGTGAAGAACTGTACGTACAATTAAAAAATAGAGATGGAAAAGTGAGGACCAGTACTCAGAAAGGTGAAAGACAGTTTAAAATATATATATATTTATACACAAAAAACAATAAATCAAGAAAAATATTCTCCTCCTCCCTCTCAAATAAGGAAAGTGACAACTCTCAATCTCCAGCAGAACGTATGTGTATGCACACTAACTCTGAGGAAGGAGTCAAAGCGTCCTGGGTCACCACACAGCTGAGACAGGTAGTAAACAAAGCAGTAGCCTTTCTCATAGGTGAAGAGGTTCATTAAATTACTAGGATTTACACCTGGAAGGAAAAGATAATGTTATAAGACACTGTGCAACAAGAACACCGATTTCAAACCAGTCTAATTGCAAAGACACCCTAGAGATGTCAAGATGCAGTGACTTAAAAACAGAACAAGCCTGTGTCAGTACATGTAATTTACTGCAGTAAAGTAACAGAAGCAACCTAAGTGTCAAACTCACACTGCACGTTTTCAAACATAAGAACAGAAAGCAAGCAATACTATGCTCCTTTTCTGAGACCTCCAACAGTCTTCCATCCTGCTTCAATATCTCCACATGCATTTGGGGTTTATACATCATCTAGACTGAAGACTGCTTCACACCTCCAGTGGTGATGACAAAACTAGAGAACCATCAATCCCGTATCTCGCTCAAGGGACAACCGAGCAGCCTCCACCAGCACGCAGCTCGCTCAAGGGGAGACCACGTACACATCTGTACATGTATTCATAAAGATGAGTTAGACCATTTTGAAGAGAAATTCAGTGCCAGTTTCCTTGCTTACTATTAGACTAGTTTACACACAAGTATTTTGTTTTTCCTTATTTTATAAAGGACATTTTAAATGACATCATTTCGGTCTGCAATCCAACAGTGATGTGCAGACATTCTGTACAACGGCTTCAGCAGAAAGAAATACCTGGCTCCAGTTTAACCTGAAGCTTGCTGACCGGGTTGTCCTCTCCAAGGAGCTTCATCTGTCTGTGGAGAGCATCGAGGCGGAACGCCGTCTCCAAGCACGTGAAAGCAGCCCCTGCCCAAGGAACAACATGGTAGCTGTGAGACAGTGGCTGGAGAACTAGCACAGGTACAAAGAAAAGATAACTGAAGACATGAGACAGCAACAGCAAGAGAGAATCTCAGTAATGTACTGTCATCACAATTTGAGTACAAGTTCCTTGCAACTCCTTGCAGTTCATGACAGTGCATCTCACAGGTTTCACCTCCACTCAGTAGGAGCTCTCTTACAGCTGCAGCTGGGTGTGCTGCTCTTCTAACTGCAATGCAGAACTGTCTGTGCTTCATGTCAAACTAGCTGCACTACGCTGGCAAGTCAAGTTGTCTTTCCTGTGCCTTTGTGGATGTGTTACACTGTGGAAAAGACATTCCCAGATGCAGCAGGTAAGTATCTAGGATCGTTATGGTTTTGGTTTTCTTCAGCAAGTCTTCAAGAATAATGCTTGTTACATTGATACAAGCACAGAGTCTTACTGTATACAGAGGAATCTGATACAAACTGAATGAGAATTAAGGACCAGGACACATCTGGAAGGTAGAAGAATCTGTACTGGCAGAAAAACAGGTAGATGAAACAAAAAGAAAACAAGAACACTGCAGAATAACTAGTGCTTAGGGCAATTACTTCAAGCTGTAAGCAGGGAAGAGGATTAAGCAAGATCCAAGAGGTGCTGTGGTCACTGGGCTCCAATTTCTGTAAACAATGTCATTACAAAAATGCCTTTTTATTAACTGCAGAAGATATGCCAGAAATGATGTCAGAAATGGCAAGATTTAGATCAGAAGTTTGTCCTTGGAACAAAACTGAATGCAAAAAAGAGCTTGTTAGAGAATGGCATGGAGAAAAGCACTGCTTAGCTTCCTGAAGTGAAACAGCCCAGTCCTGAATTCCAAGAGGACACAAATGAGGACCTTCCTTGCCTTATGTCAGAGACACGGCCTGAGATGGGACAGAAAACAGTTCAGAATCTTCTGAACTATTCATATTGTTGCCATATAGAATACAACGTGAGGTATAGAAAAGCCTGAACCACTGAGAATTACTCAGCATGAAGCAGCTCACATAGAACAGAGCAAAATCTCCATAGCTGCTACGAGCACTTCTTTCTCTAAATTTCATTCTCATCATCTCCAAAAACAACGTACATGACTAAAAAGTAACACACTCTCCTAAGCACGCTTGCTGCCAGCGTTTCCCAGAAGATGAAATAGAACAAAATCATTGACACAGGACACATGAAAATACACAGCGCGAGCTTTTAAGAACATCATGGGACAAACTAGAGAAACAAGCATTTCTATCATTCATCTCAATTAAAAAACCAAAAAGCAATAGGAATGATTTACTCCTTCTAGTTGCTACAGATGGTGCCCATACAGCTGACCTATTAGTTTCACTGATGCAAACAGCTAAAGCAGAGCCCTACAATTCTACAAGAAGCCTCCGGTACCTCAGCAGACAGACACGTAGTTGTGTACATTGCATCTGATGGCTATTACCAGCATTCCTTCCCACAGCAGCTAACTACCAAGTGCCCAGGTGTAGACAAACTGCAAGCATCCCCGATGTTCAAAGCAGAGTTTGGGACTGCTCACATTCCAGAACAACGACGACAACAACAACAACAACAACACAGCTCCCAACACACTTTCAGCTCCCAGGGAAGCAGCTCTCAACTGCTGGCTGGACGCATCAGAAGGAAAACCCCCTCTTACCATAGGTCTCAGTGGTGATGCGGCGCTGCGCGTACGTGGCCAGCCCCTCGCTCAGCCACATCTCCTCCCACGTGGCGTTGGTGACCGCGTTTCCAAACCAGCTGTGGGCAACTTCATGAATGACGTCAATGATTAAAAACTCATCGCTCTCCAGAATGGAAGAAATGATGAAAGTCAGGCATGGGTTTTCCATGGCAACAATAGGGAAGGATGGAGGAAGAAAAACAATGTCGTATCTAAAATTAAAGGGAGAGAAAGAATACAGTGGTAAATTACACCTACTTCAAAAGACCTACATAGAAATACACGTCTATTTTTCCTCCTTTCAGAAAGTTCTTCTAGGAGTTCTTGAAACTTCAGGAACAACTTTCTAGACCACTGGTTGGGAACCACAGTTTGTTCCCTTGGCCAAATTGCTGCTCACGCTTGCACGTAAGGCTGGAAGCCTTCAGCTGTAGCATGCCCTGCCCTTCCCAGAAGCATCACACTCTGTTCACACATGTAAACTCACCACAAGCTGTGTATCTGACCACCAGAACCACGAACTTTACATACACTGCCCACACACACATGCAGATCTTCAAAGGCCCCCAGGAAACAGAGGCTGGGAAGCATGGAGGGAATGAATTGGTGCCTGTAGTGGCAGCAAAACAGCACTGGAACATGACTATACTATTTCTTTGGCTTTCTGAATTTCTCCACCAATGATCAGCACTGGCACTTCATACCAGGCCTCGTTCTCAGAGCATTTCAATCAACATTAAAAGGGTAACAGCCACACTTTTCCTGCTTACCTTTAGCAAATAAGTGTGGGAAGCCTTTGCAAACATTTGCTCCGATTTGAAGAATGAAAATACTTTCAAAAGCATTCTCTTTTAAGACATAGTCAAGCTTAACTACAGAAACTATCAGTGTTGGTGCTAAGATTCTAAGTCCATAATGAATCATTTTAGCATTTTCAGGCATAATGCAGTAAAACAAGACAGCACTTCTGATTCTCAGGGAAGGCCAACTGTTCAGAACGCGCAGTGCCGCTTACCATAGCGGCAAGATACCTCCATGCTCCTCGTTCTCATTATTTTGTTCCCATCACACGTTCCTAGGAGACTTATGAAACTCACCTTCCCCAGATATATGGGCCATACAGGCTCTCTGCAGCAGTCAGCCAGCGCTCGACCATGCCAGAAAGCTTGCTGATGGCAGTTGGCAGCAGGCAAGGCTCTGCCCACACTCTGCTCCTGTCAGAAAGCAGAAAACATCAGGTGATACTTCAACAAACGCAGTTATCTCTCCAAAATAATAGCCTGCTTCCTCAGCACGTGGCCACAAATGGTCACAGCACTAAAAGGTCTGGCATCAGGCTTCTGCCTTCTTTAGGCCAAGCTGCAAACCTTACCTTGGACCTATGTCTGCATGTATAAGGTCTCCTGCCACCAGGGCCACGAGGTAGGCAGGAACTGGATGTTCCATGTAGAACTGATACACTCCTTTGTCTTCTACGAAGGTGCTTTGAGTGGCGCTCATCAACACCTGCATGCCTGCTGGAGCCTGGAGGAGCGACATCGTAACACCAGCTGATGGGATGAGCAAGGCTGAAGGGCTACAGCACAGACCCGTTCTGACGTATGGTAATGCACGTAGTTTTTTTATACTGTTAAATAGGCTAAGGAACGCTTTATATTAAATATAACTACACAAGACAACGTAGCCATGCTTTCACAATTAAGCTGAGCTCTCCATGCCCACACCGATTTGTCACTGACCTTGACGGTGGCTGAATAGGTGCATTTCACCGCTGGTGTGTCAAAGCAGGGGAAGAAGGAGCGGTTACACACCGAGTGGCCCTGCGTGAAGACAAACGGCTTGGCGTTGCCGTACGTCAGCTCTGGGTCCAGCCACCAGATCTGTTGAAGCATCGAGAGAAGAAGCGAGGGAAAAGGATCGAGTTTGAACCGTCAGAGAGCAGAACCCCAACATCGAGAGGATCCAACACGAACAGGAACAGCAGGGGTCACGGAGCGCAAGCAAAAACCAACGCAAAACAAACGCAGGCTGAACAGTGTACACACTGTTATCTCTGACCCTGACTCTGCCCTCCCAGCTGCAGCACCAGCGATTCTGACACTACACAAAATGAGTCAGCGTATGTCAGGATATCTCTGGTCAGTGGCACCAAGGCTGCTTCGTATGGAGCAGATAAGGAGGTTCTGAGTGGTCACAGAAAAACACACAGCACTGAGTGTGTCAACTTTCAGTATCAAGCAGTAAATAAATCGTGAGTCAGAGCCTCAGCAGATCATCAGAACTCACTAGGAATCATAGGAAGAAGGGCAGTTATTTGCCTGTTGGGTTTTCCCTGTTCCGAGTGCCATGTTTATGCTTTCAAACACTCCCTGCCTCTAACTTTGAAGCACAGAAACAATCTCAAATCGCAGAAACAATTTCAAAGAAGTATTTTCTTGTAATCCTAGAGCTCTCGGGCTGAACTACAGAAAATAACAAGCATTGCAAAATTTGCAATAAAATCAGAACCGCCTGAAGTCCTGGGAACAGTCGGGCACACAGAATAAAGCTTCTGAGTCCACTGCATTCTCAGATCAAAGCAGCCAATAAATCTGAACTTGGGGAATAGCAGTTAGTGCCCGCACTCAAGAGAAAGACATGAAGAGCTCACAGAGAGAAGCCAGGGTACTATCCCTGCTCTTATTTTAATGGCATATTACAGTTCTACTTCCTACTAATCTCTGTGTTCTGGAAGGCAAAGCTTCCCCTTTCTCCCTTTGCCCTGTAAGGTTACTCTTTACCTTCTTCCCTTGCCTTTAGACCCTTCTCCTCTGATGCCAATGCGTTCCTCTCCCACATCACCCACTTCAGCAGAACCCCTGGGGATGGGTGCAAGGGACAGAAAGGAAACATACAGCTGCTTCTGAAGGGAATTAGGGACAAATGCCTCATTAAAACTCGGTTTGAAGACAAAGCTTCTCACCAGAACACGCATTCACATAAATACACAAGTGCTGTGCTTTAACCCAGGTAACAGCATTCTAACCACCCAGGAAGGAGGCCCAGGAAGTGACTCCTTCAGGATGTGCCCAGTGTCAACACTGAAAAGCACTCCTCCCGGCAGTGCTCTGTGCTGGTAGCACAGGTGGGACCAACAACCTGTCACGTCAGCCTTGGAGCAGAGACTCACCTTCAGAAAGCCCCATTCCCTTCATTTTCTGAGCAACACTAAGGCCAACAAAGCACACAGGGAGATAAGACATCACCAGAACTAAGCCACAACCCCAGAATAGGGTGGAAAAAAGGTTGACAGCAATGTCTGCAGAGCAGAGAGATAAGGGGAAGCACCCCGACCAGCACAGGAAGAAAACATAAGCAGGAAGCAAAGGAGAGCTAAGAAACGAATGCCTGCTTACAAGAAGCTCCAAGAATTTACGACACTTTCTCTTCAGCGTGCTTCCCTTTCTGTGACATTTGGTTGAGGTTAAATGAAGCAGAGGCCTCACAGGCCAAAAGGAAAAAGTCCGCAGAGAGTGAAGTATTTTTTTCCCCTGTTTCCCAATGTCTGCAGCTATGCTGCAATCCTCCGCCTCTCTTTCCAGATGCACTTGGAACAATGATTAAAGTTATCCTGAAACAATATAAATAGATCTGCAATATAAATAGAGCGGCCATGCTGCTGGACAGGGCTGGGGATGAGGAGCAGAGGCTGCAGCCCAGAAAGGAGTGCAGTCAGCAGCCTGTGGGGGCAGGGAGCTGGGCCACTATGGGGCAGAGCAGCACATGGGTGCATCACCAGATCCCAACCGTGCTCCGCTGAGGAAACACGTGTGACAGCATCGCAATCTGGCAAGTGACAAAAGTAAACAGCTGAACCTCTTCCAAGTTTAAAGTCTTTCCATGTCTCCACCTGCATTATTGATGGAGGAGAGCAGCGGTGCCACAGTGGCGGTTCCAGTGGCCAGCAGTGACTGCCCACAGAGTGTGCTGTGCAGGCGGGACATGGGGGATGTGATGGGGCAAAGAGCCCGACTGCAAGTCACGAGGGACTGGGAAAACTCAAATGGATTGCCAGGGAAGTTCCCAGCTCTGACCTTTTTGCTAAATCATAGGGACAAGGAAGTTCTCTCACTTTTACAGCAGGACAGAGCAGGGTTTGCACTGAAGGCTGTCATGGAAAGAAAACAGCACTGCGTGGAGATGAGCGCTGCCAAATTGGAGGTACAGCAAAGCGGGTCAGAAACGAGTGTGCATTTTTCCCTCCGGGAAAGGAGAGCAAAAATACTGTGAAAGAGCCTCTGCAGGGCCAAGAGGTCAGCATGAGGAGCAGCTGCTGCTTTCCCTTCACACCTGCACCATGGGATGCACAACACTCAGCAAAGCCTCGCTCCTGAACAGAGGATGCCATGCATGAATGCATGGTTCCCTGCATGCGGGCAGCCCAAACCCTCTGCAGAAGGCAGGTTTAAGCTCCCCTGTGTCTCCCGGGATCCATCACACAACCAAAACCATCAGCTCCTCACTCCATAGGAACGAGGAACAGAAGTTTGGTAAGAGAGGCGTGACGCCGCGAAGTTGCTTCACCCACAGAGAGAAAAGGGACCGCACAGAAACGCGGAGGTCAGGCGTGTGCATGAGGTCACCGTCCCACATTTGGGGTTACTCATCGCTGTTAACACAGTGCCAGGCTGGAAGGGCGCTGGCAGGCAGCATGACAATAGCAGCGCATGACCCTGGAGCTCAAAAGATAGCCCAGCGAGCCCCGAGCAGCATGAAGGGCTGGAGCAGGTGCTGCCTGGGGACAAGTATTCTGCCAGCCAAAACCTGCAGTCCTGGGCAGGCAGTGAGATGCAGTCCTATGTTGGAGCGTGCCTGCTCCTGCTTCCCAGCACCACTCAGAAAGGGCAGCGTGTGGCCCTGCTCCATAACCAGCAACAATTCCACCAGCAGGCCTCGGAGCTTCGTTTCAGCCAAGCACTACGTGCTATGAAAGCTACAGTAAAGATGCAGGAAAGAATGAAGATCAGCTCGCAATGGATCAAAGAGCAGCGAGGTGAACTGTAGGAATGGAAAAAGGGCTCAGCTCCCAGCATCCTCACACACACGTGCATAGGACGGATGGTGAGGCAGTGGCAGGACTCCCTCTGCACACAGCAGGGCAGGCCGCCGCCTGGCATCAGCGCTGGGGAATCCCTGCAGGAGCCCAAAATAAAGCCACTCGTTCAAGAGGAGCAAAGAGCGTTATCGCGCACTGAGGGAGCTGCGGCTCGGCCAGGCTGAGAGCGATTACAGAGCACGGCAACAGCCAATGAGCTTCAAAGCCTTCCTGCCATAAATAAAGCGCCCGGCAGACAAAATACACCGGTTCCTTCATGAAACTTTCAGGGTTTCAAAGACTATCGACCCTTCCCCACTGACCGCGGCCCTCAGTGCCACATCTCCATTTCTCTACAGCAGAGACAGAGACCCCCTCCCCTCCGCGCCCTTGGGCAGCCCCTGCCAATGCAGCACCGCTCTTACGGAGAAGAAACTGTTGTTGACATCCAAGCCGAACCCGCCCCGGCGCAACCGGAGCCCGTCTGCCCCAGGCTGCGGGGCTCCCCCAAACCACTCCTTTTGCCCCGACCGGAGCGCTGCTTCCCCGCCTCCCCGCGGGGGATCCCCGTACTCACGGCGGGGCCGTCGGCCGTGGTGTAGCGGACGATGACCTGGAAGGGCTGGTGCGGCTGCAGGGCGGCGGGCAGCGACAGCGTCAGGGCCGAGCCGTAGTCGGTGAAGGGGTCCACGCGGAAGCCCAGCGGGCAGGAGGCGGCGGGCGGCCGGGCGAACAGCGGCAGCGGCGGCTCCGCCAGCGGCGGGGGCCCGGCGGGCGGCTCCGCAGGAGGCGCGGCGATGCAGGGAGCCGAGAGGAAGGTGGCGGTGGAGGGCGCGGCGGCGGCGGAGCACGGCGGCGGCGGAGGAGCGCAGGGCGGCGGCGGGGGCGGAGGGGGCGGCGGGTCCGGGGCGGCAGAGGAGGAGGAAGAGGAAGAGGAGGCGGCGGCGGCTTCGGCGGGGGAGAAGGCGAAGGAGCAGGGGGCTTCCCCCGGCGGGGCGCGGCGGTAGGCGGCCGAGAGGACGCGCAGAGCCGGGTGCACGTCCAGCACCAAAGCGCAGGGCTGCGGGCGCAGCGCGCACAGTTCCAGCACCAGGCAGCCCGCCAGTGCCCGCGCCTCGGGCCGCAGCTCCAGCCCCAGGTGCAGGTGGCGGAGGGCGAAGAGCTGCGAGCTGGAGGCCGACGCCACGTCCGGAGGCGGCGGTGGATCGGGAGGAGGAGGCGGAGGGACCGGCGGAGCCTCCGGGCCGCCCGCGGAGCTCTTGCGGCAGCAGCACAGGCCGGGCGGCCGCGGGGCCGGAGCCGCCATGGAGCGGCGGAGGAGGAGAGGAGGCGGCCGCTATGTGAAATCCATGGGCGGGCGGGGAGGAGGGAGGCCCCGGCGGCCGGAGCGGCCGGGGCGGGGAGGAGAAGGGGCCGAAAGGAGCGTGGGGCCCGAGCCCGGAACAGGCCGGGGGGGGAAGGGGCTGCGTGGGTTGGGCTGGGCTGCCCCGCCCCGCTCTGCACCGCCCGCCGCCTGCGCGCGCAGACGTTCCGAGCCCCGGCACAGCCGCTGTGCCAGTCGTTGGGTCGCCAAGGCAGCTCCTAAGTGACACGGGAATGTTTATGATGTGGCTGTGGGTTTGACGAATCCACAGCGTACGTTCCCAAGGGCCCCCAAACCTCACACCGCTGATAGCGGAGTCGCATCGTTTCCCATCGCACCGACGCGCCCGGGCGGCACGGCGCGGCACGGCAGGCTCAGCTGCAGGCAGCACCGAACGGCCCGCACCGCAGAGTGAGCCCGGCCCGGCCTGACGCTGCGGCCGCCCGCAGCACCTGGGGTGACTGCTCATAGCCAAACGCCATGCGGCCCCAGCACAAAAACAACGTTCAGGAAAGCTGCTTGCCTGGCACGGGTACTGCAGATGCCCGGCATCTTCTCATCATATTCTTTGCACGCATCTTCAGGAAGCAATTCTGTCCTCACTCCATTCTAACTCAGAGGAACTTTTTGTCCTCCCCTCATTTTTCTCTACACATTCTTTTTGTAAGCCTCATTTACTGCACCCATCCTTTCCTCCCAATGCCTTTGCCCGTGTCTCAGTCATCCCATTCACCTCTAGAAATAAATGTCCTTTCTCAGTTTATGTTTCTAGCACTGTTCTAAGGCTGCCCACTCTCCCTCTCGAGGGTTTCCTCGAGGGCTGAGCAGCTGAGCACAGCCCCAGCGCTCTGCATCTGTCCACATATCAATCTTCACCAGAGGTACCAGCGATGTCGCCACAGGCACTCAGGCTGGCACAGCTTCAGGGCCCGACCTCAGATGTCATTATGCCCATCACACTGCAGAGCAATGTCGCTGGGTGGTTTTAGAAGCCTCCAGCCTCCATTTTGTTTGACGTCCCAAGCGAGCGGTAATGCTGCACCAACCAGACAAGAGCAGACAAGCAGGAACACGTCCTTAGAATTTCCAACCTTAGGACAATCAGGACCTGTTGCACTCGGTGCCCAGAATGGATGAAATTCCCAAGGTCCATACAGCAAACCTGAAAGCTATCTTAGGTAGTTCCACTCAAATTGTGCATCTGTTGCTCTTGGACCACGTTCACCAATTCAGAAGAGCACGACTGGTGTAATGAATCCTGAGCGCAGCTCCCTCTCACAGCTATGCTAGTGTTAGCACCTACTGAAAAGAGCAGTCTCACTTTGCCTCCCCTCAGGTGTGCCTTCCTGTCTCCTTTGTACAGCACTCTGATTTTGGAGGGTGGACTTTCTGCAAGTTAGCTTTCTGGGTCACTGCTGGCAAGAGCCAGGGCTGGCATCAGGAAAGCTGAAGGAACTCCCAGCCTGGAAGAAGAAGGAGGACAAGGTCAGTGGCAGCCTTAGGCCACTTCATGTTCTCTCTCTCCCTTAAAAAGTATTCAGACTTCAACCAATGACGCTTTATGTGCTGCTGCCTTCAGCTCACAGTCTAAGCCCTGTGAACTGTATGTTTTACCTGCTGTAGTGGTGGGAATGCTCACTGCTGTGACCCTGCAGTTGTGTCACTTTATAAACAGTAACACATGTAGGTAAAGAACATGAAAATATCCCAGCCTAAAAGATTTTCTGTATTCCACCTGGCCTCCCCATTGCTATGACTTGAGCACTAGCATTATAAATCGTTACTCTCTGTCCTGCTCAGCACAGACATGCACTGCCAGCCTCCTCCATACTGGAGGGCACAAGTTACCCACTGCACTTGCTTGAAGAAAAAAACCCCACTCTGAAGGAAAAAAAATGAGGCCATGGTGCAGAGAGGAGAAGAAAGCCAGGCTGCAACAACTGACACAGGGCTCAGAAAGGTGAGAAGTGATTTACACGCTCAAAACAAACCGCTGAAGCCAATAAAATTTACAAAACCCAAAATAGTTTTATTTACTTTTCAGATTTTTGCCTCGGCGAGACATTCTGCAAACATGCTAAGGCTACAAAATGCCCAAGTTGACAAAGACATGCAACGCTGACCATTCCATAAGTCACGGCTATTATAGGAGCCACCGTGCCCAGCGGGCCGCAGGTCCCGTCGGACAGGGATGGCGTACAGTGATCATGGCAACGCACTACACAGGACCTAGTAACCTGAGGTAGGTCTCTTCACAGTAAGAAAACAACATCCTACACCAGTGTTACATCCTGATCAGCAGGAACCCGTCGGAAGTTCCCGGAGACGTGGAGTGGGGGACTGTTTCCTTAACAAGTGTGCAATAAAGAAACAGGAAACATTGATGTTGTTTGACCTTAGTATACGTGAGCAGAACAAAGAGTTAGTGTTACTCATGCCAGTGAAAGCCAACCTAAACCTCTGAGGGGTGTTAGCAGCTTCAAGATAAAGGAGTCAGTCAGTCGGAGCAACTTGGAAAAGGCTTTCCTGCCAGCATACAGGGTAATGGTTTGAACCTTACGATTAATTTGTTACACATCATTCCATAAACAGTTACATTCTGGTTGTGTTAGATCAGCGAAGCAGAAAGAGCATAAACCCTGCTGACACAGTCAGAAATACTGCATCGAGACACTGAGAAAACGAGGCCTTAACGTGACCCAGAAGTGGTTCTCCAGTCAGGAGATCACTAAAAACCCTGCTTTGGGAAAGCATTATGGCAAGCAGCAGCCGCTGCCGTGTGAACGTGAGCGATGCTCCAAACAGCTTTGATAAATTACAATGCTATAGAGTTACACCACAGTGCTCTTCTCCCCTGTGCTAGACAACAATGTGACAATAAAGGACACTATTGCAAAGCTTCACTTCCACTCAGACACGCAGAAAATCTGGCACTAGGAAAAGACGCTGTAGGAGACAAAATGGTGTCTGATACAGCCTGATAACAAAGCCAGATCTCGGGTACCATAAACTGTACAAAAATGATAGAAAAGAATATGCACTGTTATTAATACAGTGCTTATTTTAATATAAAATAAACAGCTTACATTTCCACTGTAAATATAGGCTATATACAGAATTATGTATAGATATAGCTACATGTATAAAGCTTCATTATAGGCCTCTGATACATTTATAACTATGGCTCCCTGAGCCATTCGTAGAGTGCATTTAATAACCAAAAAATTAGTAATATGATCATGGAATAAATACAATAATAAAAACATGAAGAATTCTTCTGACACGGGTTTAAAAACTCTCTGGCTTGACACACTGTGCTAAAAAATAAAAGATGAAAAGGCAATAATCTGCTTGGAGGAGGAGGGAGAGCTGGCCTGCCACAGGCAGGGAGTGCAGCTCTCCCAAATTAAAGTGACTTTGCCCTGAATTTTAGCCCTTGACAGCGACCTTGTTCTCTGCAGCAGCAAACATAGCATAGAAGCGCGAGTTCTCATTGGCCAGAAGGGCAGACGGCGTGTCGAATTCCACCACCTAAAAACAAACAAGGCAGGTAAAGCAGTCAGGAGGAGCAGCAGAAGATGGATTCCCACCCACGCCCCCTTGGACCTGTCACACAGCAGTAAGGAAGACAAAACTTGGCAGCCTTCAGGTGAGACAACAGACAGTGAAAGCCTCTGCCTTCATGCTCTCACGCTATAACCAGGGATGTTTAAACTACACTACACAGATGCTGGGAGAACCCAGCAGGCAGCAACCTCTGGTGGCTCTGGCAAGCAAACTGAGGCAGATGCTCTGGTTTTTACTTTCTTTACATTCAAGAGTGTTCTCAAGTGTTCCTACATTTCCCTTTAAGTGTTTATAGCCTAAAAAGTGCTTATCTGTCACATGTCAGTTCGGTATCAGAATGCTTTGCAAACTGCTGCTGAGCTCCAGCAGAGGTGCTTACATCATTACCCATACCAAAATTAAACCTACAAAGGACAATCAAAAACACTTTAAGGAGTTTGTTACCCTGTGGTATTTTCTTGGAATGTAAAAGAGATTTTTCCATCTTTGATCTTGTCATGTTGAAGCAATTACGGACGTCGTTGGAGAATTACAACCAAGGACGTGAAGGAACACACAGGATTTTCTACAGCAATGCCAGCTGTTCCTTCAGTTCAGCCCATAGACGTGGCACCACCAGACTGCAACAGGAACTGAAGCCACAGAAGTCTTTCTGCTCACCTGTCCTTGTGTTAGCACCATGATCCGATCGGAACCCAGTACAGTATGCAGGCGATGAGCAATTGTTAACATCGTGCAGTCTGCAAATGCCTCTCTGATGGTCTCCTGAATCAGCAAGTCAGTCTCTGTGTCCATAGCAGCTGTTGCTTCATCCAGTATCAAAATCTGAAAGCAGTGCATAATCCTGGCTGCTACTTCACAGTGACTCTGTCCCTTTCTGAATATCGAAATATGCAGAACGGGCTGAATTGCCAGCTGTGGCAACTCCTGGTCACAGCAATCTTTACAGAGTTGTGGTCACAAAGGTAGTTTTGACAAGCACATTTCACCCTACACCAGTATCTGCTGGTGCAACCCCTATGCCAGCTTGAATAAATCTGAATGAAAAAGAAAGCCATCTCTCAATGCTACCAATCTGATATCACCAGCTATTTCTCCCATCAATAAGCTCACCTTGCAGCGACGCAGCAGAGCTCGAGCTATGCACAGTAACTGCCTCTCTCCAACTGAAAAGTTTTCCCCATTTTCCATTACTTCTGAGTCGAGTTTCATAGGCAGCTGGGCAACCTGCGTGGGAAAGAAGAGAGAAAAAAGCCTCAGAGCTGAACAGGCCTTTTGTGTCTCTAAGGCACGAGTGCCACAGCATGGAGACTTGCTGCAGAAAGCCTCACAAAGGACAGATTTTAACTGCTGTATGAATATGCATGTGTGACATTTACACTTAAAAATGTAAATGCAGAATGCACATCTACCTAAGGCATGCAGAAAAGCATCACTTTTGAAATTCTGTAGATCCTGAGGAGTCTCTGTGATGGAGCAATGCTCTGCTGTGCTATGTACTAAAGAGTAGCTTTTGAAAGGTGGCATTCTCCAAACATTCCATCTCATCTTTAGAAATAAAGCATAGCAAAGGGAAAAAACTGCAGAGAAATACCTCTACAGGAGGGTCTCTGAATTAGCCACTAGTAGAATGTGTAGCTTGGAAAGCAAAACACACACAGACATCCCATAGACACCATAATACTCACACACTCCTTCATGTGAGTCCTCTCCAAAGCAACCCAGATTTGCTCTTCACTGTATTGATTGAAAGGATCCAAGTTTGATCTGGAGGGGGAAGCAGAAAGTGTAATCAGAATTTGTTTTTCAGCAATGAATGGCAAAACAGCAGTGCACTAATCTGTCCAGATGGACAATTCCCATCTAACTTTCCTCTGAGAGAATTTCCTTGCCAAGGAAATCAGATGTTCCCACTATATAAGTAGCCAAGAAATTACAGAGTAAAAACAGAAGACAAAGATGCAAAAATTTCAAGCAAATCTAAAGGAGAAGCAAGAGTTCCACAAAGGATGATCACTGAGATGATTCCACATGGAGTCACCTCAGCCCATTTACCTGTGCTTTTTGCTCTGTTGTAAAAACAGAACAGAAGCCAGGATGCCTTTGTTCTAGTCACAACCATCTCATTCAGTGTGAGCTGGCAGCTGCCTTTTCCTTCCTGACTTATTATGGTGCACTAACCTTACAGTGCCACTGAACAGCACCGGTTCCTGAGGGATTATCGAGAGTTTGCTGCGAAGATCTGCCAAGCCAATGTCGTTTATTTTCACTCCATCAATTTTAATGCAGCCTCCAGACAGTTCAACCAAACGAAAGAGTGCCATTCCAAGGGAAGACTTCCCTAAAAACGAGACAGAAAACCATACCAGTGTAGAAACTAGTATCAGAATCACAGCAGAGATTTGAGATGAGACAGCATTTCAAAACTTCTCCTTTTGGTAGGAATGGTGATTTAAAATAACCTGAAGTAAACAATGGTGTAAGTGCTGAGGTTCAGCATTTAAACTTGTAAGCAGTAACAACTGCATATTTCAAAATCCCATTTTGGAGCTGGTGTAAATCAAACTCCTGAGACAGGGTAGAGCCAAATCCGCCTGCGGCACCAGCACAAACATCTTCCATGACACTCAAATAAGCTACGATGAGCATTTGTAGGCAGCATCCTGTGCTGCTCAGTGGCTTGGGGTGTTAAACACTATAAGCATTTTGGGGCTCAGGCACAGTAGGATACGCCTCTGTTTTAAAAGGAAGCTTGTTTTTATTGTTTAGGGATCCCACTCACGTGTGTGTGTGAACAGAGTCCCCCATGGCCGCTTACTGGACCACTCTTAGGCAATTAACTTATTCAAACACAGAAACCAGACCCACCAACCGTCCTGTAGCTGCAGTATGTTAGCTCTGCCTGGTGCTTCTCCTTACCCGAGCCCGTCCTTCCCACAATGCCAATCTTTTCCTTGGGTTTGATGGTAAAGGACACTTTTTTAAGCACCAGAGGGAGATTTTCTCGGTACCGCATCTCGGCGTTTTCAAAAACAACTTCACCTTCCTGCGGCCAGTCCAGAGGGGGAGCTTTGTTCTTAATTCGAGCAGGAGCTTCCAGGGAAAGAGTCTTTAAAAAGAAAAGGAAAGTTCAGTTTCCAGTAAACCAAGCACTAAAAAGGAAAGCTGCAGCTTTCGGTAGCTCTCTGCAGACTCATCCCACATCGGTGTGCAGCAGCTTTCAGATGAACAGTGTGGCTGGATACAGGACCAGTTCTCAGAAGCAGCTTCTCAGTCTCCCACTGCCACACTAGAATTCCCTGCTGCTGCCTCAATAATGACATTGGACCTTCTTCCCAACAGTGTTTTTCATCAATAGAATTAAAAATGTATTTTAGGCCTATTTTTTATGTCCACAATCTTATTGAGTTTTCTGGTCTTCCAAAAATTAGATGTGACATCTGCTATATTTCTGTGTCTCTTTGGCTGTGCTGTGCCAGGGTCTCCTCTGTTGATTCTGACACAGAAGAAAACATCTACATGAAATATTGTACAAATATTATTCTCCTATTCCTCATTCTTTCCTGTTTTGTTAAATCATTGAGCCAGTCAGGCCCCTTCCAGCTCACTTTCACTGTTACAGCCCTCAGCAATAGTCCCTCATTTAAGCAGTTCACTCCTTATGAAAAGCAGAACTTCTACAAATCAAAAGGATATCTAACATGTTTAAAACGAAGATCACTTTCTCATAGTTGCACAACCAGCCTCAGAGAATGGCAGAAATCCTGCCCTGAGATAAATGTCACACAGCTTTAAGCACCTAAATGCAAACATCTTCACTGAATCACAACCCATCAACTCCTTCATGGTAACTACAAAGAAGTCAATATTTCTACACTGTGATTTCTCTGCATTTTAATAAAAACATTCAGAATGGTTAATAATTGGCCTGTGG